CACTTTGTGGAAAGAATCTTCAAACACTTTTATATTTTCTTCGTCAAAATAAATCAGGAAATGGAGATCCTAATCCATTATTTTTATTAAAAATATTTGCATATGCAAAAATTAGGAATATTTCACCACTTGATATTCAAGAAATTAAATATCTTGCACAATATAAACCAAAATTTAGAAATATAAAAAAATTTGGAATAATGAAAGAAATGGAAACATATTTACCATCAATATATTTTGATTTTTACTTTTTAACACTTGAAATACTTGAAATTTCACAATATGATATAAGATATGAATTTTGGATTTATATTACTTTAATGTGTAAACTTCAAGTGAATACATTTGGACGAGATGGATTAGCTTGCCTTTATAAATTTATATCATTTATAAATCATTCATGTGTACCAAATGTATATACCGATCCATATATTTCACAAAATTATAATCAAAATATTGAAGAAGAATCAAGCAATAAAGGAGAAATTAAAGAGAATAATATGAATTTAGTATCTTTAACAAAAATTCAAAAAGGCGAACAAATTTTTATTAGTTATTGTAATGAAACATTAAATAAAGAGGATAGAGCAATACACTTAATTCCAGCTTATGGATTTGAATGTACATGTGAGAAGTGTAGGAATGAAGATCCACAAGATTTATGTCATGTATATTTGCTTCCTGTTTGGTGGTTAGATTGTTTTAGGGAATAACGATAATGATACTTATCAGTTATGTACGTACGTACGTACATACGTACGTAAATTATCAGACATGCAACGGTACATAGGTTATCGATGCTGATAATGTTGTACAAATTATGATAAAATAATTAATGATAATGTAGCTTTAATGGTTCGTATGATTCTAGAGAAATCAGTGGGGAAACAATTAAGATAGTATATTGCTCAAGTACACGCATATGGAATAATAAATCTTATGTATTTAATTTTGCCGACATAACATGACACAGTAGCACATAGTAGCGTTGCATTAGATACAATTATTAATTTCCTTAAAGTTGTATTTCATTCTTAATCTAACTATAGAATGATGTTTTGGCGAGAGAAACTAATACTAATACTCGCATAGATTGACTATAACGATAAGATTAATAAAGAATTCTAGAGAATGGTTCTCCATTAACAAGTAATAAAAAATACATAATTAATTTACGCAAAACTCAAACATATGATCTATATTAAGCCATAGTATTAAAATAATGATATATAATATATATTGCTCGTTCGCTAAAGATATAGATTACATACCAATCTCCTCCAGATATGTGATCATGATTTTTTTTCTACAAAAGATCCAACAAGAACAGTACTTTTCTTGAAAAAATTATTACAATTGCGATTTTACTAATGAAAAAAATACACAGCAATTTCAATAAGATAGATTTACTATAGCATAATCCATATACAACTTACTCTCGTTATAGTGAAGTCCTCGGGCTGAGAAAAAATCTTCACTATAGCTTATATCGAAAGAATACTCACTATATCAAGTTGAAGTTTAATAATTCTGGAATTTAAAATCTTTCATTATATCGAATCTTCACTAAACTAAAGTACTAAAGTGAGTTGTACTAAAAAAATTATAATGTGGATGAAGATTTGTTCACGATATGATTGGTCGACTGTCATGTGTATATTTAGGTCACTTTGAAATTTGCAACGTTAATTTATTGAAACTTTAATAAAACTTTTTTAGTTTAGTTATATGATTTAGTAATTATTGGTTGTATTGTGTGAAGAAACAATAAAAATATTTTCAGCTTTAAATTTAAATATTAATTTTATGAAGTTCATTTACATAATTATTTAAAAAGTTGCAATAAACTACACTACTTAAATTATACTGTATTATTTTTGTATTCATATGTAACTTACATATAAATATAAGCATTATTAATTCGTTAGTCTGAAGCAAATGATCAACATAGCGATAAACAAAAAAATTTAATTCAGGCTGAACATTTAGCATTTAGTGTTAAGTAAAATTTGGTAAATTGACAATTGGAATCTACAACGTATTGATAGTATTAATTTGATTCATAATAATTTAATAAAATATGCAGTTTTTTTTTCACCCAAAAACGTTAAAAAAAGGCAATAAATAATAATTAATAATCATTCATGATCGTGTGATTCACTTACTGATGATATACATAAATTGTCATGGAGAGTCGGGTAACTAGTGTAAATTACTTTGAAAATTATATCAGTGAATAGAAATAACAAACTTATCTGCAAATTATTTTGAATGTATGCGCGTTATTCTAAGTGGATTATTTTGAGACAAAGGCAAATTCCGATTTTCAAGATAATGTCGTTATATGAATTATGCAAAGAGAAAGCCTGTAATTTTTTATGCATTTGGAGAGTTTCATCTAAAAATTGATTAATAAAAAAAAATTTTTAAAGAAAAAATCAGAGTTGATTTGTATACACAATTAAAATCTAACAATTAAATTTGAAAGACTTTATTCTATCTAGTGCGCATTAATTTAAGTCGCCATTTTTTTGAAACATTGCATTCTATTTTTAGAGCCCGTTATTTCACGAAAAATTCATGAATTGTTAATTTTTATTATTAACGTTAGGATGCTTGGCAAGTAATTTAGTGTATGATCGTGTCCGGTCATAAAGTTCTGATACCAGGATCCAACGAATGATAATATCTTCCTTCAGTTTCTTTCGATTTTCAATTAACTTTTTATCAACTTGTTTGTATGGTATTTCCCCTCATGACTTTATCTCTTAATCTTTTAAATTTGAAACATTTGCAGTTTTTCCAAATCAAATAATTCTTTGGTCAATAACCATAATTTTTCCGAAATAAATTTAGTATAATAATTCCAAAAATGTTCCTCATAATCTTTGTTATATTTTGCATATTTTTTTGCCTTTTTCTTTTCGAATTGCATTGCATAACATAACATTCTTAAACATTTTTTATATTGCATAAATAAATATCACTGCATATTACTTACAAATAAAATTTATAAAAAAGAAATATATTTTTTGATTTTATATACTGTAAGTGTACGTTATTGGGCAAAAATTGAATAATGGTAAATTTGATTCAATCTGACAAATGAATGCGTGCCGCGAAGCGGCATGTTAGGAGGTTTATTGATCTGATTACCGTACGGCATTGACTACAGTACCCCGGGTACTTTTCAATAAACCATAGAATTTCTTGAATAGTACTCATCTGGGTACTAATTATGAGGGGTATTATAATGGGGGTACTTTACATAGTTTCAATATTATTTAATAAGGACTTTAAATCTAAGTATTTATATATCTATCCCCGGGTCTTTTTCAATTTCCTGAATCATGAACCCATGAATTGTACCCGAGTCTGTAGTCAGTGCCGTACGGTATATAGTAGAACCAACTGGCTTTTTTAATGACATCGATGTTGTAGAGTATTAGACCAATCAACAATACCACGTATAAACAATTTTTTTTCATACATTAAATATACGTATAATAATTCTTAACGCCAATAAGCTTTTTTTTTTATTCATTTTGGTAAATAGGCATCAGTTTATATCGTATTACATTATATATATATAGTTATTAAAACACGAGATCAAGTGCAACTTTTTGATATCATTACTGCATTATGTGTTCGACTGACTCAGAATTGTTGAGTGCATAAACCATAAATTATTGTATGGGTATGTTGAATAACCCAGTTACACATACGGGTTCATATTTAAATGCCATGCCTTCGGCACGGAATATGAACCCATGTGTAACTGGTGCATGCCCCATGCAATAACTATAATTTATACGTAATATATCTCTTATTTATTTATTTATTTATATTAAAACATTTGAATTCTGGTTTTAGACTCCAATTTTTACAGAATTAAAATCTATCCAGATCAATCTTGAACTTTTTAATCGAATTAATTTTGTTGATACTATTAAAGGTTCTATTTAATATTTTAAGATGCAAGTAGAAATAAAGATAATGCATCATTAGATGAAATTCTTAATACATAAGGAAATTTGACCGAAACAATTACTACGTATAAGTTTAACCCCCAAAAAATGCATACGTAAAACATCATTCTTTATTCTTTATTCGTTCAGATTATATAATAATTATTATATGCAATATTATTAAAGTTAATAATATTTAAATAAGTTAATAATATTTAAATTAGCATATTTTGATTGATTACTGGATTAATAGGTTAAGACATAAAAATTAAGAATACGTACGTATCAGTTGATAAAAAATTATGAACGATAAGGTAAATCCTAGTTCTCTAATCTTGTATAAATGAATTGTAAATCAAAACAATATGTCTTTCAATTACTATGTTTAGGGGTAGGGTCCGATCCACTATTATACGTAAATGCGTATATATATATATATATATATATATATATATATATCGATATATATATCGATAAGTATATATATGATAATTGTCTTCCCTGTTTTGACAAACAAATGTACTGTTTCAAACATACAAAATCTCGAAACATGCAATGTGACCCTTTGGAAAATCTAATAAAGAATAGTACCGAATCCAAGGATCTAAATGAAACAACGTGCGCCAAATGTTCAAGTTTAGAACAATACTCTTATTTCTAGCTTTTCACCTCGATAATACAAAAATTTTTTAAAAAAAAACCTCGATAATTTTGAAACCAAATTTACGCCGGATGAATTACGACGCGTATATTTTCTGTACATTATTTTTATCCATACAAAGAAAAGGCTTGGCACAAACCTTCTTCATATATTGAAAAATTTTATATAAAATGGGCGTCTGAATTCTCATCATTTTCAAACAAAAGCAAGTCTTTTGAACTAATTCTAGTGTTCTGAAAAAAATAAGTTTTTTGAACTAATTCTAGTGTTCTGGAAACACAATATTTTAATCACTGCTATAATTCTTACAAAGCCATATTAAGAATTTCTTTTATTCTTTTTTATCTTTATATACATTTCTGAAAAAAAAAATGAAATTCTATCTTTTCGAACTTTTGGTTCTCATTGTTTCTGTATTTGTCCTCGTCAACGCAATTCCAGCTCCAAAAGCTCCAAAGGTTCCAAAGGCTACAAACGCTAACCAGACCAGCTCCAGCACCAACTCTACAGCAACATGCTTTCAAAAACAAAACGGGTTAGATGCGGAGGCTCTTCAAAAAAAATTTGCCACTTTCACCACAAGTACTCCATGTAATACTGGTGATACTGCTTGTATTAATGGTCAATTCGCTCAATGTACCAATAAAAACAATTGGGCTCTTCAACCGTGTAGCGGTGGTTTGACATGTTGTGCACTTCCCCTTGTGAATAAACCGGGTACTTCGATCACTTGCGGTAAGTTTTGATTTACTCTTTTACTTTTGTATGTAAAATATGAATTAGATTCGGTGATTAATAAATTTAATTTCTTTGATAGATTCCAAGGCAGATCAAGATGCAAGAATCAATGCTGCAAAGAATGCCTGTTAGACTTTAAAATAAATTATTGTTCTCCAGAATCTAGATTTGTTTAAATATACTTTTGTTTCATTACATTATTTGGCCTTTTATTCGGTTTATATAAACTGGTTTATATACTTCGAATAAATAATAATAATAATTTTCTATTCAAAAAAAACTCTTTATTTTTATGAATATATTTGTACGCGAAAAAAGATTTGGCCAACTTATTCAATTTATGAATTGCTGCAATAATTTAATAAAATTCGTTCAAAAGACATAAACATACAGTATCGTTATCAATTATTCATCTTTTTTCCTTGTCATTTTCTTTATACAATATTCATGTATAGTAAAAGAGCAGAGGTCTTTTTCGATTTTTAACAGCTGCTATAGCAAAGAATCCGGTGTACATGTTATTTGAAAAATCTGCCGATGATTATCAAATACGAATATAGAAAAACTCTACCATTAATTTAATCGAATATTGACTTACACAAAAAATCTTAAATTAGATTGATAAGACCCGTGATACAAATATCGATATCTTTAACGCCGAAACGCGTAAAAGAATATAAGCTTTGCTTATTGGGAATGATTTAAT